CTTCGTCGGCAATCAGAGGACTATGGCGATATCAATCCATCAAGAACGAGGACCAGCTTCACCTCCTCTGCTCACTTGTCCGACAGGGACAACGTCATGCTACACTTTCAACGGAGCATATTGTTATAATGCTAGTGGTCAAGATACTTGCTGTACTGATGGGAGTGGTGAGAAACTCTCCTTGACTTCCAAACTGCTCTGGCTGATTAACACTGGGTAGGAGTCTGCTCCGGTGGGTTCGAATGTGGCATTGGTGTTGCCGCTGACCTGTGCTGTCAACCAGTTTGTTTGTCCGTATCATCGTCCAATCTTCCAAAGCTCAACTGTCACAGGGGCAAACACCGGAGCAATGCGCACAGAGTTCTATCGTCGATGTTGCGACCACTGTCAATGCCATTCCAGACCCCACGGCCGCCTTGCGCACATCTGATTCCAGAAAACCACACGTCCGCATTTTCGCCATATGGATTGTGTTAATGCTATTGGGGATTTTCTTTGTTCAACAGTACCTTCTGATGGGGTAGATGGTGTGTGACTTTCGGTAATGGAGGTCCAAAGATCAGCAAGTGATATTGCTAGGGCCGTAAGCTTGTTTAGGAGTCAGTGAGTGATTCCGTGACAAGGTGATTATGGAGGGCTGATAGAGAGTCGCAATGAGACTTTGCGAGGGGATTGTCACTGGGATGTGTCCCGTACAGTGTGCAAGGCTCTCGAGAAATTGTCTTTCTTTCTAGGTCGCATCAGAATGATGTTACAGTAGCAATAATACTACGGCCTCTGTTCGGCTTTGGTGAGTATGCACGCACTATGCGGGGCATCGGGGCGAGGGGTCGAGCATTGTATTACCTGAATCGGCGTGAAATTATTGATCCGAGAAATAATTTCCTTGACCGAGGTTCGCACCACTTGGACATAGCCAACGTTCTCGAGTGCCTTATTATCTCTTGGATATACCATTGTATGATTTCAGCCGACCGGATTCACAGTGAACATGCCCCTATATTTTCAAGGTATTATAAAATGATCGGTGACCGATAACTTCAGACACCCCACGTATATTGCCGAGTCGTCACACGACGCAGTCGACCTCAACATCGTATGGGGTCAACGCTGGCCTCGACTCCCTATTTCCACCATGCCGATCCTAGAAGAGACGGTGACGGACAATGAACAACAAGACAATTCCGCAATCGCCGACGGCGATGCCCCTGGTCGCCCGCCGCGGGCGCCTCCAAACCCAGCTTCAGTCAAGATCAATGTCGAAGGCGCCTTCATCGTCGACGACGAGATGAATACGCGCAATGGCACTGGGGATGAGCATGAGCATGTCCATTGGGAACACAAGGATATCCGTCTCCCACACCACACAGATGTAGTGAGCCATGTTGCTCTTGATGTACGTTACCTATGCGATCGTCTCTCACCCCTCCATCTGTCCTAACTTTGATCTTAGATTGGCGGCTCTTTAGCAAAGCTAGTCTACTTCTCTCGCGAGCCAGGCTCAACACACGGGGGCGGACGATTGAACTTCGTCAACTTCGAGACGGACCGGATCGATCTGTGCATTGACTTCATCCAAGAATTAAAGAAGACACAGTCCAAGCTCAATGGGTCGACTCCGCAGGAACTGTGTGTCATGGCAACAGGAGGAGGCGCATACAAGTTCTACAACCGGATGAAAGAGTTGCTTCACGTGGACGTAGTTCAAGAGGATGAGATGGAGTGCCTCATCATTGGTGAGAATTTTAGCAGAAGGCGTTGTGCACGATGACTGACCAGTTGTTTCACAGGCTTGGATTTCTTCATTACAGAAATCCCGCGAGAGGTCTTCACATATAGTGAGGAAGAGCCGATGCAGTTCGCCGAAGCCCGTGCAGATATCTACCCCTACCTCTTGGTCAATATCGGATCCGGTGTCTCGATGGTCAAGGTCTCTGGACCTCGAGAGTTTCAACGGGTAGGCGGAACGTCGTTGGGAGGCGGAACATTCTGGGGCATTCTGTCCCTTCTCACTGGAGCACGCACTTTCGATGAGATGCTGCGGCTGGCCGAAAGGGGCGACAACAGCGGTGTAGATATGCTTGTGGGCGATATCTATGGCGGAGGATACAGTAAAATTGGGCTCAAAAGTACCACCATCGCAAGCACGTTTGGGAAAGTGTTTCGAATGAAGAGGATGGCCGAACGACACGCAGAAGACGGCGAGGGTCTTTTCAACGGCGATGGTCAGGACGACGACCACGACATGTTGCGTGGATTCAAAACGGAAGACATGGCCAGAAGTTTGCTATACGCAATATCGAACAACATTGGCCAGATTGCCTATCTCCAGTCAGAGAAGCACAAACTACAGCACATTTATTTTGGGGGTTCCTTCATTCGAGGCCATACTCAGACGATGAACACTCTCTCCTATGCCATCAAGTTCTGGTCCCAAGGCGAAAAACAAGCGTACTTTCTCCGGCACGAAGGATATCTTGGTGCTGTTGGAGCATTCCTTAAACGACAACCGAAGAATTGGGGCAGGCGCAACAGTTTTGAGGATATCAGACTTGGGAAAGTGTTGTCGAGGGAATAGGATTAATCATATGTGCCAGCAACAGTTCTTGCGAGAATCCTATCCAGGGTTGTTCGCAGTATCGGTGGTATACCCTCGACCTGGAAAATATCGGGAACTTATCTATATACTGGTCACCAAGTGCAAACACCAGAACCCCCTTGGGCCGACGTGGCTGGAACGTTTGTGGTAGCACAAGAGTGTCGCCCAGAAAACATCAGTCAACAAACATATTGCGGTTTCCTATAAAAACGAAGCATACTAGATGCAAGGGAGCCTCGTCAAGCTACCACGTCGCGGTCCTGGTCCATTGTCCTGGTTCTGGCACTGGCACTGTGGCAGGTCGTCTGCGACCATGTGCCGATCCACGGGACTTCTGATTCCCTGCCTGAAGAGATCCTTCATTGCATCACTGCCCGGAGATGCTGAAACAAAATATAATGGGCAATTGGCTTTCGATAAAGGCTTCTGCGTGGGACTATCGGAGGTTCATGCACGGAAATAGAAAGTCAGAACATCCCAATAATCGTGGGCTGGGAGTTCCGATTTTATGTAGCGGAAAGTTCCAACAATGACAATAGTGTCTTTTACTATTCTCCTTCAGTAGCACAATCCAGGACACAACTAACACAAATTTACGGCAGGGAAAGCCGGTCGGAAACATCATGCACTCAGAATCAATAATCTATGTTCATCGCTGTATCTGGGAGGACTAAGAGCAGAAGCACGAATCAGGGAGCTCGTGGCCTGCGGCTGTTGGCCGCCAGCAGTGAGCAATGGGCGGCAGCAACCAAGGAAAATTGGCCGAGGGTGGAGGCTCCCTCAACAAGCGATGCCGGTTGGTTGCCCCTCGAGTCCTTTCGTGCCTCTGATGATGCCTGACGTCAAATGGTTGTCCTCGCTCTCGCTGTCTCTCATCCCGGCCCTCACACGAGACTCGTCAACAATGGCCGTTATCCAGCCTCCTCCGGTTCGTTTCCATCTTACAATCATTCTTTTCTGCTGTCGCATTTGAAAGCACTCATTTCTGTGAAATCGCTGCTTGCTTCCGACCTTTGCTGTTTGTGACCCTTCGTTTTGCGCAACCACATAACCCAATTCTTTGTTTGGTGGTCTGTCTCGTATTGTGAAACGATTGAGCCTGCGGATGGGTTCGGGTTTGCGACAACGACAACCAAACAGCACACAAGACTTCACCTGCTTGACTTTCTATTCGAAACTGCCATATAGTTGAACCGCACGGGATTTCTCGGTTTTTTATTTAAATGGTCAGCGCTTCCATTATTAAACATTGAGAATCGGCATTAACGCATGACAGGCTCCTGTTGCGACGCTCGCCTCTGCTTTGAACCCAGCAACCCCCGCTCTCGTACCTCGCCAGGCCACGACTACCGTTGTAACGCAGTCATCGACGTCGTGTTCCGGACAATATTCTGGAGGTACACTCGCTGGTGCCATTATCGGAACTTTTTTTGGAACCCTCCTTTTGATCTTTCTCTTCAATTCGTTACAAGGCGGCAATTTTGGAAATCGACGTGAAGAGGTGATAGTTGAACGCAAGCGAAAACGACGCAGTCGAAGTGGTAGCTCATCAGGAGTACGGCGACCAAGTAGGGTCTACTCCGGGTAGGGATCGAATCGAAATCTCGACGGACTCAAGATGAGAATGACATACGGAGCACAAGTTGTACGATAACTGATGATGGAATGATAACGGGTTGGGTAACATGACAACGGGGTATGCGTGCATCGCAGATGACCGGGCCGTGAATCACGGTGAGGGTTGGTTGAAGACGGGGCACCTTGTTTTGGGATGAGGGGAATTGAGATGGAAATACAGCGAAACGTGTCAGATATGTACAGAGGATTGGAGATCTGTGGAAGAGTCCAGTGTGATGCGCGACTGACCTATACACGCAATGTTCTTCGGCGTTGCTTGGAGAGTCATGAGAATTGCAGTCTTGTCTCCGTAACGATGATCTGAGCTGCTAAGACACCATGTCAAACGAGAAGACATTACAACGAGAACCTCCATTGTATTGATTAAGGTTGCCGAGTTCATAGTCTCTCCAATTGATAAGGATCTTTTCTACGAATCTTCTGTTCAGAGTATCCCTTTCGGTAGTAACTGTTTGCTGGCGTGGCTGGCTCGTACAACTCAACTCGCTAAACCTGCTGCTCCTGCCCGTGCTCTACCCGATAGGTCTCCTGCCGATCAGTGAAGGCACCTCCTTGCTACGTAGCCAAGGCAGCTTACATCTCGGAAACAATTGGCATTGCAATCTCCACGCTCCTCTATTCTTCACCATAGTCGTGGGTGTAACGGAGTTTCGATATCTTGTCATATCCAGGCCATCAACAACACCCCGAGTTCAGCTGTTGACCTGGTGCCACAGGACGAGCAATATCACGAGACCGATTCAGAACACGCGAGCTAGACACCATGGCCGCCAAAGCAGTGATACCGTTCCTTGTGGGAATGATGCTGGTCACTGGGTGCGCCAACACACTTCTGACAAAGTTTCAAGATCAACAATGTGTAAGGGGCTGCACGAGCAAGAATCCGAAGGATCACAGGACGTTCGAACAACCAGTCATCCAGACGTAAGTTCCAGTATTCAACTCAAAGTTGTTGATCGCTAACCTGCGCAGAGTACAAATGTTCATCGGTGAGATGGGATGTTGGCTCGTCATGTTGGGCTTCTACCTGTACCGCTACGTGATCCTTCGCTCCAAAGATACCCCTCTCTTCCACCGACCTGTCAATGCCGAAGACGACCAGGAGGAGCAAGAGGAGGACGATGACACTGTCCGGCCGGCCTCTTCACGCGATGCTACCGATCCCGCCTTGAAGCCACTCTTACCCAACGCCGACGATCGAGCGCATCTTGAGGGTTGGAGGGTCGTTTTGTTAGGACTTCCAGCTTGTTGTGACATTGCAGGCACAACCCTAATGAACGTTGGATTACTGTTTGTGGCTGCCTCCATATACCAAATGACCAGAGGCGCGCTGGTTCTGTTCGTCGGACTGTTTAGTGTCCTGTTCTTGAAGAGAAAGCTCTATCTGTACCATTGGGTCTCCCTTCTCATTGTGGTACTAGGGGTTGCCTTGGTTGGTCTGGCTGGGGCGATTTCCTCTGGCGATAAGACCTCTCCTGCACCCAAGGAGGGTAGTCTGGAGCTGGTGCGGCACGCGATACTCAGTGTGAGAGACGTTGTACTGGAATCGGTGGATCCTACAGTTTTGCGCACAATCCTGGGTATTTTCCTGATCGCATTCGCTCAAATCTTCACCGCCACACAATTCTGTCTCGAAGAATGGATCCTGGAACATTACGCCCTGGAGCCACTCAAGGTGGTTGCGTGGGAAGGCTTGTTCGGCTTCGTCGTCACCGTCATAATTCAAGTCATTCTGCACTTGGCGGTTGGCATCACCAAAGCTGGGAAGTACGGATACTTTGATGCCGAGGAAGGCTATCGTCAAGTGTTCAGCAACCGTGCAATCGGCATTTCAAGTCTTGCAATCATGGTCTCCATTGGCGGCTTCAACTTCTTCGGACTCTCGGTAACTCGAAGCATATCCGCCACTTCTCGGTCTATTATTGACACCTGCCGTACGCTTTTCATTTGGATTGTCTCGCTTGGACTTGGATGGGAGTCATTCAAATGGCTCCAGGTGCTTGGTTTTGCCTTGGTGAGTCATAACACCAACCGATCCAGGAGGGAACGTAACTGACAGTTGCTACAGCTAGTATATGGTACATTCATGTTCAACGACCTCGTCAGACCACCGATCAAAGCCCTGTTTCCGCAAAGGCGAACCGGTGAATACGAGGCACTTTTGCCAGAAGAACCAATAGAGCATATATAGACTGCGATCAATTTGAGACTGGTGTTGTAATGCAACCTCGCATCGACTTTTTTCCTACGAGTCTTACACAGCCTCTGGACTGGAGCTTCAGGCTATCTTTTAACAAAGCAATGCCTCACTATGCAACAATTGAGGGGTGAACGGGTGTCTCTACATATCTCGGATTGTTCTAGGGGTGAATTGGCGCTACAACATGATCTTTTCAAAACTTTGTCCAACAATGGAGCGACAGAAACCTGTTCCTCTAATGAGCTTTGATGACAGTAGAACCGAGTCTTGCGACAATACCTCACGCCTTGATCCCAGGCCTCGGCAACTCTGGTTTCTTCCTGGAAAGTGGCAATTTCCAAGTGGCAGCCCTCGGCGCTGGATTTGAAAATGCGGTGTCAACTTTCTGTACCCTGTCATGTAAGGCATGACAATTACATGGTTGCCTCTTCCTTCTCAAATTCGAATGACATGCTATGCGGTGCAACAAACCCTGCCACTCTGCGAGTCTGTCACAATTGTGGTGTGTACCCTGAGGCTAGGTTGAAGCAAGGGGTGAATTGCTGCACCCCAATACTCCCCAAGGTGGCTGGACATGTCTGCTTCGAAAGAAGGGGGGGAACCATGGCGTGTGACACAGAATCGCATACCCGACGACGATGCAAGGGAAGAACTCAAGAAACGGCTGCACGCGTCTTGCGTAGGGTCGGGAGCCAGTGGCAGTTGGATTTCCAACACGCGTCAAAGCCAGACTCTGTCTTCCCCTGGATATATGTCTCATCTTCTCCTTCGTTGAAGAGCCACACCCGCAGCGTACTTATTCGAGCCCACACAAACACGATGGCACTTTTGATCCCTCCTCACGCCCTCGACGCATCAATTGTTCATCGAGGCCGGTCCTTGCCGCTCATTCAGACCCAATGTTTGAGGGAGGGACAAATGACACCACCCCCTTCACCTTTCCAGCCTTCACGAAATCCATCCAGAACACAACTATCAAGGCTCCTTCATCGATGCAAGCCTGCGAAGTCGAATCCAAGCAGGTTATTTGAAGTCAGGACGCGAAGAACCACTTCGCATCCCTCCCTGACAAACTCGGAGACAGCCTCTCCTTTAAGTCTACCCGAATCTCCTCCTCTTATTTGGGGGGACGACTACCCTACCACAACTCTGCCTTCTCCCGGACTGCGCAGGATGTTGGCGAGCTATAACGATTTGCGTGCTCTGGCTCGGAATGAGACCACTTCAACCCCAATAAGCCCGTTGCTTCCAAGCCCTATTGTGGGAACGCTTCAGAATGGACAACAGTATTTCAGATTGCACGACCCATGCGAGCGCCAGACCACACCCATCCCAGACGAAGATTCATTGGACAGCCTCCGTATACTGTCGTATTACTGCGATGATCGGGACGGCGATGAGCAAGACCAAGGAAGCCAACCCTCTGAGCATGGCACACTTGAGGACGACAATCTAAGCACGGCCTCTGAATCCATGCCAGGAACTCCGCGTGACGACGACTATCGAGACACCCTTTGTTCGGACGAATCTGGGTGGCTAGCCAATACCACATCGCATGAAGAGAGAATGCGGCGATTCAAGGCTCGCTACTATCAAGTCGTGCAACGTCCTTGCACGTCTATTTGCACAGACGACAACGAGGATGGAGTGGTATATATTCGTACATCTTCTTTCCAGCTCAAAGTCCACTAACTGCATCTCAGATGATTGCCACCGTTCTCGTTGGACCAGGCAAGCCAAGATTAATCCATATCCAACGTCCGCCGTCTAGCCAGTCGAGATCTGAGTCGCCTGGCGATAGCACTGGTGCTCCATCTACACCAAAGCAAGCGCATGTTGAGATCTCTGCCTTCAGCCCGTATGACACTCCTTGTGATGTGACTCAATTCAAGTCACACGTTTCAAACAGCGTCTGTCCTCCGGTCTCTGGAGCCTCGCCTCCCTTGACCGAGCCTTTCCCACAGCTTATGGCATTGACACTGCGAAGTGGGACAAGCGTAACGGAGCCACGCGGTACCGACGACATCGACACCGGCATCAAGATATCGACAGATCCCTTCAGAAGATCTCCTCGGAGGATGCAGAGCGATCGATTGTCTCCAACGCTAGAGAAGAGATGGGCGATTTGGAACACACTAGAAATGGACGCGCAGTCTATTTCAAGATTGTCACCTTCTGTCAAGAGCGCGAAATGGTCACGATGCCGAAAGCTGGAAAGGGCGCTCAACGCTGTCACCGTCGCTATTGACGAATTCCCTGATGGCATGCTCTGTCTCGAGTCGTCTGTTGTCATGGAGCTGCGGAATCCACAAATCTCAAACACAGTCTATCTCGAGGCTCTTGGCAGAATATTTCCTTCTGCGTCCTTATTGCTCATTTCGGCAATCACGGCCTGGGTGATCGTGGACCTCCACTTCTCCCGACTGAAAGGCCAGGTCGTCCCCATGGAGCGGTATTGGGCCCAGGCCGCAGCGTCTAATGAAAGCTTGCATCGAATCCCCGACAAGGCACGAGAAATGCTGGGGATTGGTCTTCCTGATGAATCGTCGATTAAGCTTAACGAGTACGCGCTAAGAAAGAGAGCGATAGCCATGCAGGCAAGCATTGGCATTATCGGACAAAGGTTGATCGAAGGTTTGAGAGGGTCGTGGGATGAAGACATATGGCGATCTCTCAAAGTATTGGTGGAGGTAATCGAGGCGAGTCCGCCTCGCTGGCCATGATCGATAGTGGTGCTCTGTGAAACATTTTTTTGACCTTGTAACATCAATGATACGATTCATTCGTAATGCAAAACCGTTACCTCAATGCCAATCTGACATTCAAGCCCGTTTGGTTCAATACCCAAGCATTAATTACTTCCCACTCCCACGTAGGGTCGTCCAACTCAATCTTGAACTTCATGAGGAGTGCTGGAACGAGCTTGTGCAGCTCTAGCATTGCGATGTTCTTACCCAGGCAGGACCTCTTTCCGGCACCAAAGGAGAGTAGACTGTGTTCCATGTGCTTAGTTTCCTGTTCCTTGGTGGTGAGCCAACGACTTGGGTTCCACATCTCTGCGTCGGAGCCGAAGACGTCCGGGCTGCGGTGGAGGACCCAGGGATTGATACCAACGACAGTGCCGCCAGGAACAAAGGTGCTGGTGCCGTCTTCGTGTTGTAGGGTTAGGCCTTCTCTGGGGGCGACGCGCTCCAGCGGCAAGGACAAGGCTGGATTCAGCCTGAGACCTTCCTTCACCACGGCACAGAGGTAGGGGAGGCTTTGCTGGGTCTCATTCCACGTCGGGGACGGGCGGGAGATTTTCTTCTGTGCTGCGGCTGAGTCTAGCTCGGTGGTCAAGAGCGCGAGGGAGTCTGGGTTCTTGAGGAGATGGTAGAAGATCGCGCGGAGAGTAGAGGCGATCGTGTCGCTGCCGGCATTGATATTCATCTAATTGCAAAGCCATAGCTGAGGGTTAGGCCGTGATGATATGAAGCTGGGAAGAAGGGTTCCTGGGAAGGACTCACAAATAGGTTTGATAGAATCTGAGCGTCGGTCAAGGTCTCGTCTCCTTCAGTGCTATCTTTTCGGATTTTCAAAAATCGGCTGAGGAAATCTGGTCTGTTCAACTTATCTTCCTTGTCATCTGCGTCGCCGGCCTCCTCCAGTTCCCTCAATCGCTCCTTCAGCAGTCTTTGGGCGAACAGCAGGATTGGGGAACTGACGCTCTTCCGGAAGTATCTCACGTAAAAAGGGTTCTTCCCCAGGACGGCTTCGTCCAGCCAAGGCATTTGTCCAAGGACACTGAAGTAGGAGAAATTCGCCCCGATCGCTTCGATGATGTTGTCCACATCGATACCAGATTCAATGAAACCCAACCGCCGACTAAAAGTGAGTTCCCCGATGACGTCGAAGGCGAAGAACTGTAGATAGCGTCCCAGATCAAGCACGCGTCCAGGGGACGGCGAAGTGCTGGCGAATTGTTCCTCCAAAGTGTGTAGAAATACATCCGTTGTGCGATCCACAAGTTCTTCGTACTCGACCAGCGTGCTCAGCGAATATGCATGGGCAATCAGCCTTTTTGATCTTGCATGCTGGCTTTCATCTGTCATGGCGACGAGGCTGGCCGCCCGTCGTCCATTCACGATGTTTTGGAAGCAACTGTAGAAGTCGGACTTCACCAGGCCTTTGCCAATCCCGTAGATCTGAGGGATGTAACTCTGCGACCCTGAAACGGAGATGCACTTGGGCCCCAGTCGGACGAGGTTCCCATACTTCTTGTGGAGTATGAGATGTTTCTCGTGGGCATTACGATTGTAGACAAGAAGAAGGCGATAGATATTGGTGAGACGCGCGGCGAAGGGCCCCGGTATTGAGGAGAGGGAGACGTAAACTCCGAAGAGATATGATATGAAAAGGATGGGGAGGGCGTATATCAAGAGAGGAAGCAGCATGGCTCCTTGAAAGGTTCAGGCCAATGGAGTCTCGATCAAGAGGATAGACATAAAATTGAATACCAGAGGTTAGCGACACATTCCAGGAGCTATTACAACTATCTCAGCAGCAAAGATATACTTCGAAGCAAAGAGGGTGGCCATGGAAACATTTCTTTACCTGGGTCGAGCTCTTCGGCCTTCTTCCGCCCATCGAAAGGACGAGAGGCGAAAGTGTGCGGAGTTACTCAGGAACAGCACAAAATAATTTAGATGGATACGTGAAGGGTGGTTGGAGATCTTTTTTTAGGCTGAATATGTGGGGTTGCAACCATTGCCTTGGGGCGGAACGCTTTCCGTGCCGTCGCGTCGCAAGCCACAGTCGAATCAACACGAGGATTTATGGGGGTTCAATATCTGGGAGATCGATATTGTCTTGATTGCTGCCGCTACATCCGCAGCGCTTTCAGATGTTTCAGCACCCCAAGTCAGGCTCGAGCCTAACTTGGTTCGGGTTCACAATGCCTTTCTCCTTTGTCGTTTGGGCTCCCAATGAATCTTTGCCATGACAGGGTTGTGGGCTAATGACCGGGCGCTCGGCGGACACGCTGACCAGTTTCTCGACCAATGTCATTGGACAGGTAGGTTAGGTGGGGTTCTCCCGTATGCACAAGACACGCAACGAAGCATTCGGGCACATCATGGCTCTGTCCAGTCGACTTGTTCGGTCACTGGTGCCCCTCCATCTTTGGCGTATGAGATTTTCAACCGTAGGCGGAGTTTTGTGGGAAGAGGCTATTCGAGCAATTAGTCAAGCGAGACATGACAAAGATTTGAAAAGACTTACCCCCGTCGCTGCAATCACCTTCATGCCCTGAGTAGCCTCGTCACCAGGTCCCAGCGTGCTTTTGTTTATCGCTTGCAAGGTCAGCTTCTGACTTTTTGGGACTGCCGCCTGCAAGCCGACATTTGACAATTGCTCAAAAGCGGAGCTATTCTTAAACCTGGCAATGGCTTGTATTGCAGGACCACTTCTAGAGACTTGAATCGCAAGGGACAGACCATTCTTGTTGTACACAGGGTGTGACCGTGGTCCAACAGGTGCAGGGCTGGCGGGTTTCGTAGTTCCGTTGCCGAACAGGTCCATGATGGCATCCGTGTTGGAAGTTGGTGCAGGACTCTTTGTTTGTGGTGGAGGACTTGAAACTGAGCTCCCACCTCCAAGAATATCTGCTAACAGGTCTGCTGTCTGTTGTTGACCGTTCAATGTAGCGCTAGTGTCAACAGCGGGCACGTCCGATCCGCCCATAAGATCGAGGAGCATGTCTGATTCTGTTGTTTTCGCAACTTTGACATTTGTCTTCGCTTTCAGGGTCTTTCTCTTGTCCTTCGCAGGCGTGGCCGACTGACCAAGAACTCGTTGTTCCTCTTTGATTTCTGGAGGCGGCATTTTCTCCAGGACACCTCTTCGAATCGAGTCGTAACCGAACATGTTGCTATATTCCACCGCTCTTTGCTGGATCTCAATGCTAAGGTCGGCAGTTCGGGAATTCATCAAGCGCCTTATCCGCTCAATTTGTGACTGGTCGGACATTCTTGTAGTCAGCTTCATTGCAGAAGTGATGATGTATTCAGTCACCACTTGATTCGCGTAAGTCGAATTGAGGATTGTGGTGTACAGATCGACAATATCGGTTTCTTTAACTTCCTTCACCAGCTCTTCTTCTTCATACGAGCCACCACGGAGGAGAGCGTCGCCATATTCGCCGATGACCCAGACAGCGGAAAGAGTCAGAGCCTCTTGTGTGATGTCCGATTTCAGAGCCGCGTATAACTTCTGGACTGCATATGTTTGCTGATCGGGTGTGGTGGCAATGAGGCGAATGAAGGACGAGAGAATCTGCTCTTTGACAAAGTTTCCGGCAAGCTTGACAACTCGCAGCATAGTATCGATGTGCCAGCGCTTGTTTGGGGCAAACCGATCGGCAGCAATGCCAATCTGCGTTGTCATGACGGGTTTGAACTCGGTATCGGCGACTTCCAGAAAGGCCAAAAGTTCTCGTATGAGCACTCGTACATTGTCCTCTCGAATCAAGGTGAAACTTAGATCCAGTGCCCGCCGTCGGATGGAGATATCGGGATCCCTCAAGCACTCCAGAATTGTGTTCCGGTGCCTTTGGACGGCGTTCGGCTCGATGGCAACTACCTTGATCAAAGTGTTTAGTGCAACATACCGAATATTGTTGTCCTTGTTGGCCAAAAATTTCCCGAGGATGTTAACACCCAGAACCCTCAGCCCCGAGTCGGCTTCGATGTCCAGGATGGTAAGAACGGCCTCGTAAAGTATAGCATTTCCAACATTCTTCGTGGACTCAGTATTGGTGGCCACTTGTGCGAGAATATCGTTGATCTGCTCGCTGGTGGCAGCATCGCCCCGCCCCAACACTCGGAAAAGCCGCAGGATTTTGACTTGTAAAAATGGGTCAGTGATGCCGGAGACATCATGCTCAGGCGTGTAGCCCGAGCTCGTCAGGCTTTTCAAAGTGCGGACCAAGTGTGGAACAACTGGCCGGAACATTTCAACCACCCCTTCCTCTCCACCTTCTGCCTCATCTGCTTCGCACATGCTTGTTATCAGCGTCAACCCACAGAGGAGGACCCCGTGATTTCTATCTTGCAGCAACACCTTGGCCTTCTCCATGAAATGTTCTTGCAGATCTGGGACTTTTCGGCATATTCGCATGGCGCAGAGCGCAGCCTTTCGACGTATATAGGGGTTTGCGGTGGATATGAGGGTCTCGACTTCGGGGAATAAGTCTCTGGACATTTCAACGGAGGCAATGTTGCCCAAGGTACAGAGTGCTAGGCCCACGACATATTGATTTGAGTGATTGAGATCGCTGTGGATGGTCAGCAAGACGCCCTAACGGGAGTCGAAATGCGTGTGTACTTCTTCAGTGAATTCGTAACCAACGTGAGGACTTCTTGATTCTCGTCCAGCAACAGCATCGTGCCTAGATAGCCCAGGCGCTTGTCTGCGAATCTGGGAGAGGCCAGGAGTTTGAGGCACTCTATCTGGCCGAAATGGGTGCGTTCTCCCAGCGTAAAAAGGTATAACAGCTTTGCGACATTGTTCCTTCTACTTCAGGTCAGATACATCCCTGCCGACATAGCGATTGTGGTGAGCGACCTAATGTTGGAATCTCCGCTCTCTTCCCGAAAACTAGCCCTGATTGCGGCACTCTCCTTTTGAACGACGGCACGCTCGTCTGCGATGGTTTTGGAGGCTCGCACATTGCGGATGAATTGCTTGACTGAACACTGATCAGTATGCCTCGAGCACCGCATGCGGGATACAGGGTGACTGACGGGAGGTCATGTTGGCTCACGCTGACCCAAAGTCGGGGTCGTCCAAGAATGTTCACTCTTTCATGGATCTCGGCACGGCTGTATGATTCTTTGGGCTGGCCCTAGACTTGGCTTGCGGGCGAGGATGACGGAGACACTAGGATGTCTGGGAGAATTGATAATGCAGAGTTGGGACGTCAGGTCAAGACCCGCCTGAGGCATCTTGTAGAAGTGTCCTTCAATGCCAGCCAATTGATGCCCGTGTCACGCCAAGAGCCGTGGCACTAACGCAATGAGCGACGGTAGACCCAGACACAGGTACTCGGTGCGCACAGAGTGTAAACCATCCACTCTTCATATCGACTCCTCACTGCAGGCACCAAAAGATGATGTTACAAAACCCTCCATCAACATAGCTACACTTCGTCGAAACGCCCATAATGCCCTACGATGTCAAAGTATTCTCACGGTGGATGTGCCACCTGTCGAAAGGCCCATGTCAAATGTGATCAAAAGAACCCTGCTTGCTCCAGATGTATGCTTCAAGCATGGTGAACCTGGACAACAACAATCTGATTGAGCTTCAGGCGCCAACCGAGGCTGGCTCTGCCCTGGCTACCGACGACCTCTCCGATGGTCCCTGAAATACGAGAAAGTTGCAAGACCAAGTTCAGCTCCTTCGGGTGCCACAGATCCAAGGTCCAACTTTGTGCCGGAGAATTCTCACCAGCAAGAGATCTCTTCTTCCTTCCTCAGTGGCTCATGGCGTGATACTGGAATCCCACTCTCGAATGTAGACAGGACCTCAAGGCACAACGACGCAAGCGTCAGTTCAGGATCAACACAGGATGTTCTCACGATACTATTTCCCAAGCCCTTCCCGTCAGATAATCTCGTGAGTACATCCGCATTCCCACGATCGTCGTCGATTTTCCAGGATTCCGTCTTACTCCTCGACTCCTACTCCGGAGTTCTATCCCGAGTTCTATCCATTTATGATGGCCGCTTCAGCCCGTTTCGTGCTGCGGCCCTTTCGGAGTGGAGGCGCTCGCCTCTCCTCTACTCTGCGTTCAAGTACTTTGTCGGTATCTACCGATCAGGCGGCGATGCTAACTGTCGACACTGGCTGGGTGTGAATGAAGCGCGCCTTGTCGTTCTCGGTGGATTGTCCTCCAGCCTTCTAACCATTAGCAGGTCTCTTCCAGTTCGAAAGACAGAAGTCCTTTTCGTTGTGTGCATGTTTGGCCTTAGCAGTAGCTGGTACGATTGGAAGGATCTTGGGTTGGAACACTACTACGGTGCATCTGCACTGCTGTCCGAACTGCTCATAGAGAACCCCAAGATTCCGCCGAAGACTACCCAATTCTTCGCTGAATTCCTGTTGTACTGGTGGATGATGCTATCCTTTGCTTGCGACCCGGAGTTGCGCCAAATTCAAGACCCACCACCAATTCCTCAGCACATGCCAGAACCACGAATGCCTCATCCCTTGACGGGAATCTCTCCAGAATCTCAACTCCTTCTGGGGAAGGTTGGCCGCCTTGTCCTCTCGCAGCGTAGGACCGCCCTTCGACAAGCGATGACTACTGCAGGAGCGCTCAATTACGGACTCGCTGGTATTGAGGAGTCTCGCAACCTTGAACATCAATTGGTCTCTTTGAAAATTCCCACAGCCGACATGATTTTGGATCCGCAAGATCCTCATACTTCTGTCAATGACCTGGTCAACATCGCCCGAGCATATCAACTGTGCGGGCTTTTACTGCTTTATTGTACTTATCCCAACTTGCTAGACCACAAGCTGCCCCCTGAAACTTCGCATGCCGCGAGAACCTTGGTTTCGGAGACCCCGAGATCGATCGCAGAATATCTCATATCATTGGCAATTCATGTCCTCCGGGTGCTGGAGCAGAACTCGAAAAACTCAGGCACTCGGACCATCGAAGCGATATTGCTCATGATTGTGTCCGGCGTGCTTTCGCAGAGGGCGGTTTGTCCTTCTGGGTCTGAGGGCGAGATACAGTGCGACATATGTTACCAGCTGCCTGGAATCTCGCTGTCTCACGAACACTCCAGTCTCCACGGCCAAATGACAGCAACGGAAGCTAGGGCATTGGTCGTCACGCGGTTTCAGCGAATCCAAGACATCCTACCATTCAATACAATCTGGCGCATGAAGTTGTTAGTTTTAGAGACCTGGAGGCTGATGGATCAGGGATCAGATGTCTTTTGGGTAGATTTATTGGTCCAAAACAACTGGCAATTTGTGATGATTTGAACATGACCATGGACACATCCGAGGTGCTCTCCATTGCTTGGCTCGCAAATATCGGTCACGGATTAGTCCGTGATGGGAGAAGAATGGAACGCTGGCGCTAAATGTCTACACTGATGCCCTGTCTGATGTGGATTTGGTCCGTCTTCCTCTTGCTTGTCTCCAACGCCGTTGGTTTCCTGTTGCTCTGTGCATTCTTTCAGTCAGATTTTGCCTATAACACCTATTAAGTGCGACTCTCACAATGCACGTCCTGGTCGTGCTTTGTCATCCAAACCAGGAGTCCTTTACTCGCGCTGTCGCGGATCAAGTTATCAAAGGAGCAGAGAGCGCAGGCCATACAGTCAAGATCATTGATTTGTACCGAGAAGGCTTCAATCCGATCTTCACTTCACGCGACTGGGAACAATTTGAAGGTGTGCCAATGCCCGAGGATGTGCTTGAGCATCAGCGTTTCGTGGAAGAATCAGACGCAATTTTCCTCATTTTCCCTATCTGGTGGTACCAAATGCCTGCTATGATGAAGGGATGGCTGGACAGGGTTTGGTCCGCGGGCTGGTGCTACAAATGGGAGCGCAATCCTGAAGGTAGCTTGTTGAGGCACCGGCCTTGTACAGTCCTTGCTCTCGCCGGCGCGACTTCCCAACAGCTCGATAGATGGGGCTATGACAAGCAAATTCATCATTTGTGGAGATATGGCATCTTCGGCTACTGCGGTTTCGAGCCACTCCGAATCACTATCTTCGATGATTGCTCGTACTCGGAGAACGGGAAGCACACTCAACATCTGAACGCGGCGTTTCGAGCAGGACGGGATATTGGTCATGATCCCGAGGCTCTTCCGGGAATCAAACCTTTTTTAGACCAAGGCCTCACCATTCGAGGAGACAAATATGTTGAGGAGTGATACTTACCCTGCTTCCAAGCTGCGAGGGTGGAGTGAAAGGCCGGAAAACCACCACACGGGGCCCAACACCTGGCCTTAGAGAGAAGCTAGAATATGGCACTGGCTTTCTGCATGCTTCCCGTTGGGTTCCTCCTAGACCGCGACAATGGTGATTTCCGTTGCATACACCGCTGATACATTTTTGTTCTACGCCGCATGCGAGGCCAATGCAAGGAGCCCCAAATACTCCGTCTAGGCAGGATAATCGCACCTCCTGTTATTGGTTGAATACTTCTACACCTTACTCAATCCGAAGCAAAATTGCGAACATCCTTGACAATGATTCACTCTGGACCACGACATATCTCTAGCCGAGCGGCTTTGCGTGGAGATACTCGCCTATCATGCAAGCTGGTAACAATTCATGGCTGGCGGCAGCAAGCTATTCTATGAGAGTCCTTGCAGCACAGACGACCGTGAGGAATTCTACGTGTACATATTCCATGGATTCACAGCATCAATTTTGCTTGGACTTTGGAAACGGATTTTGTAACTTTGTAGTGATTTCGCAGCTGACTATCAGAATCTCATGAGTGTTTCGAGATGACATGCACCAGTAATGGCGTGGGCACTCATGGCCCGATCAGCACCACCCTGCCAGCATCCTGGTACCGCGAAGAGGGCATGTACGAATTGGAGAAACGTGCGATCTTTTCCAAACAATGGCTCTGTGTCTCGCATTCTCTTCGATTCAGAGAGATCGGGGAGTTCGTAAATTTCGAGATTGCCGGCTACAAATTCTTCGTTATCCGCGACCGACAAAATGAACTCAAGGGTTTCTTGAATATTTGTCGACACCGAGCGTATCCCGTGATCGAGAAACAAAGTGGGCAGGGTGGAAAGGTTAGTGTTCTCGCGTGCAAATATCATGGTAAGTTGGCAGTCATGGCACACAGTACTCAATCTCGGCCACGGCATCGCCGCTGATCGATGTCTATTAGGATGGTCTTATGGCTTTTCTGGCAACCTCGCAAAGGCTCCACGCTTTGAGACTGCAGAGAACTTTGACAAGTCTCAATACTCGCTGTATAGTGTCCATGTGCGGACTGACAGACTCGGCTTTGTCTGGGTCAATCTCGATGCTGCCAATCCACCAAACATCCCTTGGGAAGATCATTTCGAGAGAGTTGACGAACAGCCACGCCAGAAAGACTTCTCCATGGATGACTTCACATTTGACCACGCATGGGAGATGGAGGGGGAGTACAACTGGAAGGCCATGGTGGACAACTACAACGAGGTAATGGAAGCGTCCGTCTCAACCATTTCAAGCTGATGATATTGTCAGTGTTACCACTGCACAACTGCACATCCAGGCATTCTGGCCACCACGAAGCTCGACACTTACGATGTCAGGGGAATTAAAGGCTGGATAGAGCACTACTCAGAGCCATTGGACAGTGTTGAGCACAAGTACGGGGTGCAGCCCACCTACTTCTTCCCCAATGCTGCTATATTGATATCGTACGTGGTGTCGATGTGAGGTGGCACTGGTCCGACTTGCTGACAGAGTGACAGTGATGGAATAACATATCTCACGCGATTCGCACCAAAATCTGCAACGTCACTAAAGCTGGAATATGAGGTCTATCGCCACAAAGACTGCTCCGATCAAGACTTTGACACTATGAACCCCTTCTTCAAACAGGTCGAAAAGGAAGATCTCGATCTCTGCAATGCCGTACAGCGCAACTTGAACATGGACACATATGTCAAGGGACCATTACACCCGCACAATGAAAAGGGTGTCATCTACTTCAAGAACCTTGTGAGGGACGTGCTATACAAGCATGTGAATGAAGAGGAACAAGCTGGGCGAAAGATCTGCCCTGCCCGAAGGGATGATGACAACGAGGAAATCGCGGCGGAAGAAGCATTCTGTCGCCTTGCGTGTGATGGCGTTGGAGCAAAAACTATTCCACAATGGTAGAGGCCCCTGAAGGTCGATCTAGTGTCGGACTATGTAGAGCTGGTCGGGACCGGAGCTGATATCTCTACAATTCACCCATGCCAATATCCCAGCGATCCAGTAGGAAACACACGGAGTAGATGTCTTGGGTCGCAGTTGTCACGAGAGGGTCAACAACAGACACCACCTCAAAATCCAAGATGCCGTCGACAAAAGACCCAATCGGCGCGCCTTATCATCATGGACGCCGCGACTAGTGAGCCAAGTGAGCCTGACGTCGAAAGGACGTTGAGTTTGGGGCATGGTTGTGCTGATTACTCCGTTTCCGGCAGACATTAGGACAATCCATGGTCAGTCTGCGCATTCGGATTCAGGGAGCCCGAAGATCCAGTCTTGCACTTTAGCACCGCAACAGGTCCTTGGATTCTGAGCATCCGGAATCATGGATGCCTGCTTTTCTATCGTGTACATTGTTCTGCAGCATCTTTAGCATTTTGTTTTCTTTTTTTTTCCCCTTCCTTTGGTATACCCCGCCAATGGCGCTTCCTCGCTCTACCAGTCATGAGCGAAACATCTTGCGACCGCGGCCGACCAGGGCGCTACCGGACGCCTTGCGAGCTGCTGGCCAGGGCCTGAATGGCTTTGCTGATGTCTCCTCGAGCATCTCCAGGCATGTTACCTCCTTCCATCCTCCAGGACTGCGGTGCTGACGCTGAAGACTTAGTGGCCGCTCCACGCCAGTTCCTCAAGATGCACCGCCTTCGGTTCAATCCCTTTCCACGGCGAGAAAAGCCGCTCGTGCTCAGGCGAAGCACCGCTTGTTCTACACGATCGACTACGTGTCCCGGGTCTCCTACTTCGATGCGCGGAGCGAATACCGCGATTTCCGAGGCTTCTTCGTCCTCTTTTGGATCAGTCTGACCATCATGGTTATCACAACGTGCTTGAGGAACATCAAAGAGACGGGTCACCCTCTGCGGGTAGAGGTATATGCTCTGCTATCCCGGAATGTCATTTCTCTGGGTCTCAGCGATGCGGCCATGGTAGCAAGCACCGCGCTGAGTCTGCCCATCCAAAAATTGGCACGAGGCACGAATGGCGTCTTGCGATGGCGACGAGCTGGAATCTGGATACAGAGCACGTTTCAAGCACTATGGCTAGCATTGTGGGTGAGCTGGCCGTTCTTGCTAGGCTGGACCTGGACTGCGCAGGTGTTTTTCGCTCTCCACACCTTGACCTTTCTCATGAAGATGCACTCCTACGCCTTCTACAATGGCCATTTGAGTGAGACCGAGCGACGCCTGCGTGCCCTCGACAAGCCAGAAACGGCAGACCTGGGCAGGGCCGTCAAATACCCCAGCTCTCCATCTCGCCTGCGCCAGATGGACTCAGAGAGTTCCGAGGAAGAGAAAGAAGATGAGCAAGATCTGGCCCAGCTCCGTCAAGATTTGGCAACTGAGTTGACTTCTCCCCTTGGACAAGTCACTTACCCCCAAAATCTCACACTGTACAATTATGCAGACTACATCTTATGCCCGACTCTTTGTTACGAGCTCGAGTATCCAAGGACACCTAAAATCCGATGGGATGAGCTCTTCTACAAGACCCTTGCCGTCTTCGGCTGCATCTTTTTGATGATCACAATCAGCGAGGAATTCATCATGCCCGTGCTGGCCGATTCAGCTTCCCGGCTGCGTCTGACGACATCTCTCTCAGAAATGGCCTTGATATTGGCCGAGACCACGAGCATGATGCTGTTTCCGTTTATGATCACCTTCCTCCTAGTCTTTCTAGTGATCTGGGAGTACATCTTGGGCGCTTTCGCAGAAATCACCTGCTTTGCCGATCGCCATTTCTACTCAGACTGGTGGAATTCCAGCGACTGGCTCGAGTTCAGCCGGGAGTGGAACATCCCTGTCTACCACTTCTTGCGCCGACACGTTTTCTTCTCGTCCAAGACGTACTTCTCGACTCCCGTGGCCATGACAATCACCTTTCTGGTCAGCGCCCTGGGCCATGAGCTGATCATGGGTTGCATCACCAAGAAACTGCGTGGGTACGGCTTCTTTGCAATGATGCTTCAACTGCCGATAGTAGCACTGCAGAGGAGCAAACTGGTTCGGGGCCGGTGGGTGCTCAATAACGCCGCTTTTTGGGGTAGCATGATTCTGGGCTTGAGCACGATGTGCAGCTTGTACGTCCTAGTTTAATGGGGGAGCTTCGTACATAGGATACATTCATCACATGTATAGAGTATAATAAGTCTGTGACAACAATAACCCATAGTAACTTGACTCTCCGTCTTTACTGGTAGTGAAGGAGTGAAAGAGTGAAAGAGTGAAAGAGTGAAAGAGTGAAAGAGTGAAAAAGCGGCATTGTGACATTGTAACAAGGTGAAGGTGACAAAGAGAACGACTTCACATGCATCTTGACGTGATTTGTCTGAGCGTCACTAGTCTTGGCGTGAATGATCTTGGCGTGATTCTATAAACAACAGCCTTAAATATCTGAAAATCTCGCCGCTTGAAACTCTTCTTTCTTTAGAAACTCTGCCGACCCCCAACTCACCGTAATCGTCTCCAGACACGCCTTATTTTAAGCAACTAATAGACGCCGCTTTAACAGGCCCTCCTCACCAAGATATCACTGCCTCATCCCAGAAACATGTCGGCCCTACTTAAAGTGTAAGTCCCTCCCTCTGTTCTGTTCACATCCTATCCCTCCTTCTGTCTCACCTGGCCTCTATCATAGAGGTGAGGTTGTCCTCAGCCCTGTTTATTATATATATATGATACCCTTGTCTTCTCCGACGCCCCACAAGGCCCCCTTCAAGGTGTCTGCACCTTTCCTGTCCAGTGTCCCGCCCACCTCATTCAGGGTGGTTGAAAAGTCACTTGGTTTGGAAATTGCGCACCATGAGATGCCAACGACGCTGGTCAAGAAAGATGTCGATGGTCGGTACTTCATGCTCTCCTTGGACCTTGGTGCAGTTCTTGCGAACTCAAGACTTCATCCTGTTTCACAATCGCACGCCGTGGACAAGTCTTGCCTTGTCAACGTTGTCCCTACCCTGCACCACCCTTGCACCGTGCACTCGACCACTTTGCTCTTCTGATCGAGAACATCGCTAACGGTTTACTCATCAATAGACCTTCGACCGCCGCCAAGTGGAAGTTCTATTTCATGGCGACCCGACCCGAGAACTTCTTTGTTCAGCAGGGTGACGAGCTCGAGTACCGCTCCGACACCGTCACCAAGGCTGGAGCGCAGCCAATTCTTGTCGGAGGGCTGCCGTTGGTGGTGCCTCGACTGCGCGTGAGGCGCGATGGGAGCGGAAATGCAATCCGCCAAGCGCCGGAGCTTTGGATGTGGGAGGAACTGAGATCCAACGCTGATGGCAGTAGGTTATGGCATGAGCTGGGATTTTGCTCAGGCCCAAAGGACCTGGAGCAAAAGTTGTTGGATCGTGCCAGGGAGGAAGGGAACCAGGTCACAGGGCCGGCCGGTGCTTTGCAGGACGGTCGTGACTCGTGGGCCCGCTTTATCTTCAGTCGGCCTGGGGAGCAGGCCAAGCAGATGTCCGAGGTCCGCAAGGACTACCACGAGGAGCAGAAGCGACTGCAGGAGGCGGAGTAGGCTGACCAGCAGCGCCAGCCGCCGCCGCCGCAGCAGCAGCAGCAGCAACAACAACAACAACCATGGCGTCGCCTCTCTACCCTTTCCCGCCCTCTCTCACTCCCCTTTCGGCTCGCACCACTCTCACCGTGGCATGATGGCGATGGCATTGCCGCGCTCCGGGGCTCTACTTGTCGGCGGCGTGTCTGTATTCTCTGCACTCTCTACTTGGTTCGGACGGTTATCGCTCGGTCATCATCACCCAAGTCTATGCCAGAAAGGCAAGGAAAGGGACATCACTCCTATCTTGACGGACTCTGCTGGTCGACACGGACAAGGCGTTGATGCCTGTGGGACTGGGTGAAAGCCTACAAGGCAGTAGCTGGAAATAGGCATATTCAATAGCTTGCTGAATCACAGCTGAAATGAAATTCATGAATCCAAACAAATCATTTCACGTGCCTGTCGTGTTGATTCACACAAGGAGGAAAAAGGGAACAACAAAGAGTCTGGCTAAACAAACTTGTCGTAAACGCTGAAGATCAATCACCTCCTATATGTAGAAGCTAGCTTTGACGTGCGAGAACCAGCCTTTCATGGCCTCGACTGTTCTCAGAGATGGCATGACATCCATCACATCAGAAGGATGACACGCGCTGTCACACAACAACGGCTTAAGATACCCGAATATTTCGACATGATCCAATACCCAAAATGCCCCAAATGCCCCGACTCCAAACAGTTGTATATCAGCACAGATCATATCCCAGCTTTCTCTGATGATGCGCGACTTGGGCAGCCATATTGCCAATGCCATATACACGGAACGAAAACCAAAACCCCCCAAATCAACACCTCGCACATACCCAGGCAGCTCACATCACCACGCAACCACCACTCCGGGCGCGCCGTCGCCCTCCTCTCGGAGCCCGGCCAGGCGCAAACTCCTGACCACTGCCCTCCTCGTCACCCGTCCCAGTATCTTGAGCTGCACCGTCTTCATCATCTCTGACACGGTACTCGGCATCACGAGCCCGCCGCCTCCGGCGTCTCGAGCTCCAGCCATGACCGACAACCCCGACCTCTTCGCTTGCGACCATCCACTCTGCCCATTTCTGTTCTAAGCGTGCAGCTGCACCCCAACGGCCGGAGACACAACGTTTGTAATGCTCCTCGACTGTTTGCTGCCAGCCATAGAACGCCTTGAGATGGATGATTTCCGTAGGGTAGAGTAGGGTCTGGATCTCAACGACCTTCCGGATTTCCCGTTTATCACCAAACTCGTCTTCACCATCAATTGTCTGCACGACTGACTTCTTCCGACCTTGCATGACGCGGCCATTTCCTTGTAGAATCTCGCGGACACCGGCCCAGGTGACATTTGCGCAATCAAACGCAACCAGCTCCAGGCCTTTCGTGGGTCGCTGAGACTTCTTGGTTGTACTGCCCCGTTTTCGAACTTGCTCAGAGGCCTCCATGAGCACCAAATCAGAGATTCTGGTGTTGTCCAAACACAGAGATTTGATGCGAGGGCAGGCCTTGAGGAGTGGCAACACGCCAATATCTCCTATCTGCTCACAGTATGAAATGCTCAGATGCTCCAATGTCTGTGCGGCCTTTGACTTTGAGAGATTGATCAGCATTGCATTTGTAAGAAGATCGACCTCTTCAACTTCCAAGTGGGACAAGCGTTGTGTTGATTGTAGGAGGTCTTCGAAGGCATCATCGGTCAAGGTTGTGTTCTGGCACGTCCGGAGCCCCTCCAAGTATGGTACATTGTGGGCCAGGGCCTTCAAACCTCGATCAGTTAGCATTCGACACCGAGAGACATCCAAATGTCGTAGTCGCCGGGGAGGCACTAGGGGTCGGTCAGTCAGCACGTCCCGTTCGGGGTCAACGCCGTGGACCATGGACTCCAGCGCTTCATCTGTCAAGCTGTCACAGTGCTGGAGGACCAATCTCTCCAGCGAATTACGCTGGAACAGCTCGAGCATGAACTCGTTGTCGTTCAGGCCCCTAACCTCACTGGCCCGCAGATCGGTGAGGTTTGGACACGATTGGATGACCTTCTTGAGACCTTTGGTGTCAATCTGGGAGCACCAGTCGATGTTCAACAGCTCGAGTTGAGGGCAATGGGTTGCAATGATTCTCATGGTCGCATTGTTGATGTTCTGCATGCTAGGCATGTTGATATGGAGCAATCTCGGATTCCGGAGGAGAAAAAAATGAATAGATGACCGTTCAATTTTGCAGCCTTCGATGCTGAAGTTCTCCAGGTTTCGGCACTCTTGGTTTGTCATTCTTGTCCCCAGGCTGAGCCACTGGTCCCGCAGTTGCACGCATCCCCTAAGATTGAGGTTTTTGACAAAAGCGCCGGCCTTGAGCATGATCTTAATCAGGGCTTCTGAGGTGATCTGTTGGTAATATGTCTGACAGTCGAGGTTCGTCCATAATTGGCCATCAAAGCACATATCATGCCACTCCTTGGACACTGCAGACACCCTGATGATCTCCTTGGGGGATAGAAACCCCAAAATGTATACTCTTAACTCATATGGCAGATCTTTCCAAAAGTTGAAGTTGGGTCGTCGCGGGAGCGGCTTCTCTGAGATTTCAGGGAGCGGAGTCGAGAGTGGTTTGGAGACACGGACATCGACTGGCACAGGGACGGTGGTTATATCATTGGGGTCTAACAATCGGACGCGGGCATTTGTCTCGAAGTAGGACTGCTGGCTGCAGGGTGAACCGGGAGTCGTTGGCGCCGTAGAAAACCCATTGGAAAAGGTATAGGAAGCGTGGGGTGATAATGAGTACGCCGAAGGCGGAGAGTTGAGAGAGACGCAGGAGATGGAGGCTTTCTGGCCAGACTTGTAAACCTTCTCACTGGAACGATTTCTACCCAACTTGGGAAGGGATGGAGAAGAAGACATGCGCTGCAGGCCTTGTAGCAATCTGTGTCGACCTTTCAGCTTTACAGGCTGGTCAAAGGCCGTCTGTGCCTCCATGAGTGGACTTGCTGGAGTTGTTGGCCTTGGAGAATCGAGTTGTCGAGGTTGAGGAGGAGGGGAGGACGAGATAAGAGTGTTGGGTATGGCTCGAGGACTGGACTGCTGCTGCTCCATGATGTAAGTGGTTGTAGGCTGGGGACACCAACGTCCAAAGTAGAAGCTGGAGTGCAGGATCAACTGCAAATGCTGCTGCGGCCGATGCTGTAGGACGGGCTGCCGATCAGATCAAGCAGGACCAGCGAGGGAGAGGCAGCCCCTCACCCACCCTTGGTGAAGGAATTTCTGTCAATGAGTAGAGTCGAGTTGACCAGCAACTGTTCTGGAGGAGAACCAAAGGGTGTCGAGCCGAGGAACAGGTCAGTCCATTTGCAAGACTGAGCGACGACGGCGAGGTCAGGCGACTGGGCAATCTTGGGTTGAAGAGAGTGTCAACAAAGATGGAGATTGGAGCAGCATTGGCAAGAAGATCAATTCAGGATTCTAAGAGGCCGAGCCGAGACAAGGAATACGCAATTGATGGTGGTGATGGGCACGGACATGCGAGCGCACCTGATAGTCTGCATGGATACCTCCCTAGTGGTAGCGAA